ACCTATACAGAGCAAGATCCCACAATAAACAGTGCCAAAAGGCTGCCTAAGTATGGACCCCAATCAGAGACAACGAGCCACAGCTGTCTCTGATTGGGAACCACCCTGGCCAACATAGAAATAAACGATCTAGAACACAACATAGAAACTATAACAAAGAAAATCCACACCCTGGCTCAACATTAAAGAGTCCCCAGAGCCAGGGCGTGACAGTACCCCCCCCCCCCCAAAGGCGCGGACTGCGACCGCGCCAACCAAACACAACAGGGGAGGGGCCGGGTGGGCACTCCGCCTCGGAGGCGGATCCGGCTCCGGGCGTGACCACCACTCTCTTTCCACCCCCCCGTAGCGCCCCTGGTCTGGTCCCGCTGGCCGGAGCTGGACTGGACACCGGTGGAGCGGATTGCTCTGGCTCCGGTGTGGAGCAGCTGACCGGTGCCGCACCAGGCACCGGTGGAACAGGCACGGGCCGTGCCGGACTGACGACGTGCACCACTGGCTTGGTGCGGGGAGCAGGAACGGGCCGGACCGGGCTAACGACGCGCACCACTGGCTTGGTGCGGGGAGCAGGAACGGGCCGGACCGGGCTGACGACGCGCACCACTGGCTTGGTGCGGGGAGCAGGAACGGGCCGGACCGGGCTGACGACGCGCACCACTGGCTTGGTGCGGGGAGCAGGAACGGACCGGACCGGGCTGGCGACGCGCACCACTGGCTTGGTGCGGGGAGCAGGAACGGGCCGGACCGGGCTGACGACGCGCACCACTGGCTTGGTGCGGGGAGCAGGAACGGGCCGGACCGGGCTGGCGACGCGCACCACTTGCTTGGTGCGAGGAGCGGGACTGGGTTTCCTCATAAACCTCCGCTCCCTCTGCTGCCTAACCAGTTCCTCTCACCGTGCCTCCACACTCTCCTTCTCCCTCGTGACCAGTGGCCCCCGTAACCTGGCGGCCTCCTCTGCTAACCTGCTGAACCGCTCTATCGCGGCCTCCCGCTGCCTCGTCGTCCACGGCGTGAGCCCCCCCCTAAAAATGTTTTGGGCTTGTCTCTCCCCCGTGAACATGGCCTCCATGGCTCTCGCCAGACTCTCACTCTTCTCCTCCCAAGTCCATCCTCTCTCCTCTTCACACTGCTTGATCCAGTCGTGGTGGGATCTTCTGTCACGATCGTCATAAGAACCGGACCAAGGCGCAGCGTGATAGGCGTACATCTTTTAATGAGTACTTAACATCCACAACAAAACAACAAAACGATACGTGAAGTCTAAAGGTTCTACACCAAAACAAACCTATACAGAACAAGATCCCACAATAAACAGTGCCAAAAGGCTGCCTAAGTATGTCCCCAATCAGAGACAACGAGCCACAGCTGTCTCTGATTGGGAACCACCCTGGCCAACATAGAAATAAACGATCTAGAACACAACATAGAAACTATAACAAAGAAAATCCACACCCTGGCTCAACATTAAAGAGTCCCCAGAGCCAGGGCGTGACACTTCTTCTCTCTCCTTTTCGCTCATTGGCTCAAACCAGCAGCAGCAGTTTAATGACAGAGAAGTTTTCTGTCAGTCACTGACAGTCACTCCTGTCCTGTTCTCTATGTCCCTATATGTCTTCCTGCGGCTGCGGGGCTGACAGCTACACAACGCCACAACAAGCCCAACGACTCTCCACTCTGTCGCGCCAACACACACGCTCCTGAGGAGAGACAACACACACTCACGCTCCCGTTATGCACACACGGGAGGATTGCAACACGCTCCCTTGACACACACACACACACACACACACACACACACACACACACACACACACACACACACACACACACACACACACACACACACACAGGAGAAGATAGGGAGAACACTTAATCTTATCACAAACACACAGGAGGGGGGGGGGGTATTTTATTAGGATCCCCATTAGCTGTTGCAAAAGCAGCAGCTACTCTTCCTGGGGTCCACACAAAACATGAAACATGACATAATACAGAACATTAATAGGCAAGAACAGCTCAAGAACAGAACTACATCAAAGGGAGAGGAAGCGTAATGGAGGAGAGAGAGAGATAGACAGAGACAAGCTGAGAGAGACAAGTTCTGATTGCAGAGGGACTATGGATGTTGTTGTTATGCTGGGAGGAGTAATTTGTTTTGGCGGTGTGATCTGGAGGAGTAATTTTGTTTGGCGAAGTGATCTGGAGGAGTAATTTGTTTGGCGGAGTGATCTGGAGGAGTAATTTGTTTGGGCGGATTGATCTGGAGGAGTAATTTGTTTGGCGGAGTGATCTGGAGGAGTAATTTGTTTGGGCGGATTGATCTGGAGGAGTAATTTGTTTGGCGGAGTGATCTGGAGGAGTAATTTGTTTGGCGGAGTGATCTGGAGAAGTAATTTGGTCTGGTGGTGGAGGGATATTATAGGTTCACTGATACCACCTGAAGAGAGAGAGACTAATGATGATCTGAAGAAAAGAGAGAGAACTAACGAGGAGGAAACAGGGTTACTGTAAAGTCATTGTCCTCCAGCAGGGTTATTCAACTGGGGTCCTGGTGGGCCAAAACATTATTTCATTCTTTCTTCTAATTGGAGAGCTGGGACACCTGGGCCTGTGTTCGTAAAGCATCTCAGAGTAGCAGTACTGATCTAGGATCAGATCCCCTTTGTCCATATAATCGTATTCATTATGTTCTGAATGGCAAAACTGATCGTAGATCAGCACTGCTACTCTTTATGACTACAGGAACTGCTAGAGGGCCTTACAGTCATGTCTGGGTTGGGTTCAGTGAGCACAAATATACAAAGGAGAAGGCAAGGAGGCTAAGGTGTCAAGAGGTGTGAGGGGGCTCAGTTCAATTCCCATTAAGTCAATACAGAAAATGGGATTTATAAAAAAATCCTCTAATTGGATTTCAATTCAATTTCCTGACTGGACTGATTCAAAATGGAATGGAGCCTGACTGTATGGAGAGGATTGTCAAGGGGCTGTAGGAAGTGGGGAGTAGAGAAAGAAAAGTAGGAAGTAGGTGTCACCCTCCCCCCATAACTGCTGGCCAAGCACCTAAAGGGCTTCCATGCCAGCGTAGCCTGATTTTTTGGGTGGTATCAGATTATTTTGGAAATTCTCACATAGAAACCTCATTGGGAGGAAGGATGTTTGACGTGCTTTTTATAGCATGTTTTATTTTTATTTTTTAAACACTACTTTTGAGATATTCATATTAAGATTTTTTATGTTGAATAAATTCATGTGAAAATGTGTACATCAGAATCTAGACATACTCCGTTATGTTAGAGCACACTATACGGAGTATAATGACACCAAGATGTTGTCTGTATCATGTAGGGTTTACAGATCATAAGGTCTTATGGGAAACATGTATACAGCAGGTTTAAAAAGGGCCTAAAATGTCCACTTTCATCATGATTTTCAAAACAATGGTTAGTGATACAAATGTAAAAAGCATGTCAAACATCCTTCTTCCCAAGAGGTACCTGAGATACCAAAAATATTTTTTAACTATGCTGGTGTAGAATGGCCTTAGAGTGCCCCTCCCAAGAGGGAAATAGAGTTTCATTCTCTTAGCCCCCTGTCACTCTTTAGCCTACCATAACAGAGCACTGAGCATCTCTTCAGTCCCTCTTCTACATTGAGTGGTTCTTAGGTCCAAGTGCGTGTGTGCGTGTAGGCGTGCGTTCATGCGTGCATGCAACTTTGCTCCTAGCTGTCTCCTAGTAAGTCAGTCCCTCTTCTTTTGAGTGGCTCTCAGGTCGTGTTGAGAGACTGTATTGTCAGGCTCAAGTACAGCACTCGGTTAGTGTCTGTCTGCTGTTTCAATTGGGAAGACTTAAGATTTCGCTTCCATTAATTACAGACTTGTAATCAGCTTTCGGGCAGACTCCTGTAAATGCCTAATAATCTATTGCCATTGTGCAATGAACTGCAAAAACAGTCCCTCTGTCTCTGTATGAAGGTAAACAATATAGACTGCTGAGAATGGTGCTTGAGTTGTAAGGAGTGCATGTGGGAGTGTATGTGGACGGCACTCACGGCACACACACACACACACACACAAATACACACACACATTCATTTTCAATATTCTCTCCACGACTTCTCAAAGTCTGATGGGGATGTGAACTACAAAGGCTGAGACTGTGAGAGTGAAACCCTCAACATCATGACTGAACATGACTGGAATATGCCTGGTTCTTCTCTGTGGAAAAAAATGTATACTCTTGGAAATTAGATTAGTGGATAAATCGGAAAAGTTTTACCTCTCCTGTGAGACATTGCATGCATCATAGAGGTGTTTGTTGCTATTCAGCCACAGTCTCTTGCAGAGTGTGAATTATATTGTGACATATTGAGACACTTTATTTTTCACAGGACCTCCTATTTGTGCCAATGTATGGGCTTAATAGAGTAAAAATGTATTACCTTTTTAATGTGGCATGAACACAACCAGTCATGTTTGTCCGCTCCAAAATAATATCAGTATCCAACCAATGCACTGTGCACCCATTTGATACATAGAAAGAGGCATCTGTTACTAATCCCCAAAAAGTGTAATGACATTCGGCGATTGCCATTAGGTCTACACTCTTGTAGCCTAAATTTATTCATGCGTCTCACTGACAAAATTACCTTTTTTTGTAGAAAGAAAAGTCGGGACACCTGAAAGGGGATGAAATATGGGATTGTGCCGGAATAACAAGTGCAACCACATGGATTTTTTTATTTTTTTACCATGACACAGAGATGGGGGTGTTTGTTTAATTTGAATTAGCTTTTATTTTCATATTTACCACTGTAGCAGTACCTATTGCATTTTAAACAAATAGGAGAATGGGTAAATTAGCATTATTTAGAGACCCCCCAAAATTGGACTTTTGTTGCATTTAGGGGAGCTAACGTCTCATTCAGAGGGGGTTGAGCCCCTGAATGGTCTCTTGTATGGTAGGTATAGGTTTTGTAGGAGTGAGTGTCCATGTTAGGAGGAGGAGGAGAGGAAGGAGGAGGAGGAGGAGGAGAGGAAGGAGGAGGAGGAGGAGGAGGAGGAGGAGGAGGAGGAGGAGGAGGAGGAGGAGAGGAAGAGGAAGAGGTGGGATGAAGGTAAGGAGCTGACAGAGGTCATATAGTCTTGGGGACGTGTGTTTATCTGGACAACAAGCTCTCACAGTCTCACTACAGAAGCCGAAGGTTAAGTTTAGGCATTCATTCCAAATGGTTAAGGTTTTGGATATTATTTTTTATTATTTTTTAAAGTGCTTAGCACTAGGTTTGAACACGTCACCCTCAGAGCCAGAGCTCACGGTTTACGGCCATCCACCGTCCCCGTCCACAACCCCCTGGCAAAACCCAAGCCTACTTGATGGTAATAGCGCTCACTGTTGCCCCTAGTGGCCGGTTTTGAAGTCATCTCCCAGTGTCCTGCTTACCTGGATGGACGTCGAATTTCCTGGCTGTATCTGGAACACACACACACTTACATATATACACACACACACACACACACACACACACACACACACACACAAATGCATACCTCCGAGCAGGGAGTGAGTGACAGGAGGAGTGTCAGGTTACAGAGGAGGGGGTGGAGGAGTGTCAGGATATAGAGGAGGGGGTGGAGGAGTGTCAGGATATAGAGGTAGGGGTGGAGGAGTGTCAGGATACAGAGGAGGGGGTGGAGGAGTGTCAGGATACAGAGGAGGGGCTGGAGGAGTGTCAGGATACAGAGGAGGGGGTGGAGGAGTGTCAGGATACAGAGGAGGGGGTGGAGGAGTGTCAGGATACGGAGGAGGGGCTGGAGGAGTGTCATGATACAGAGGAGGCGGTGGAGGAGTGTCATGATACAGAGGAGGCGGTGGAGGAGTGTCATGATACAGAGGAGGGGGTGGAGGAGTACCATTATACAGAGGAGGGGGTGGAGGAGTGTCAGGATACAGAGGAGGGGGTGGAGGAGTGTCAGGATACAGAGGAGGGGGTGGAGGAGTGTCAGGATACAGAGGTAGGGGTGGAGGAGTGTCAGGATACAGAGGAGGGGGTGGAGGAGTGTCAGGATACAGAGGAGGGGGTGGAGGAGTGTCAGGATACGGAGGAGGGAGTGGAGGAGTGTCAGGATACGGAGGAGGGGATGGAGGAGTGTCAGGATACGGAGGAGGGGGTGGAGGAGTGTCAGGATACAGAGGTAGGGCTGGAGGAGTGTCAGGATACAGAGGTAGGGGTGGAGGAGTGTCAGGATACAGAGGAGGGGGGTGGAGGAGTGTCATGATACGGAGGAGGGAGTGGAGGAGTGTCAGGATACAGAGGAGGGGGTGGAGGAGTGTCAGGATACAGAGGAGGGGGTGGAGGAGTGTCAGGATACAGAGGGGGGGGTGGAGGAGTGTCAGGGTACAGAGGTAGGGGTGGAGGAGTGTCAGGATACAGAGGAGGGGGTGGAGGAGTGTCATGATACGGAGGAGGGAGTGGAGGAGTGTCAGGATACAGAGGAGGGGGTGGAGGAGTGTCAGGATACAGAGGAGGGGGTGGAGGAGTGTCAGGATACAGAGGAGGGGGTGGAGGAGTGTCAGGATACGGAGGAGGGAGTGGAGGAGTGTCAGGATACAGAAGAGGGGGGTGGAGGGGAGTGTCAGGATACAGAGAAGGGGGATGGAGGAGTGTCAGGATACAGAGAAGGGGGTGGAGGAGTGTCAGGATACAGAGGTAGGGGTGGAGGAGTGTCAGGATACAGAGGTAGGGGTGGAGGAGTGTCAGGATACAGAGGTAGGGGTGGAGGAGTGTCAGGATACAGAGGTAGGGGGTGGAGGGAGTGTCAGGATACCAGAGGAGGGGGTGGAGGATGTGTCAGGATACAGAGGAGGGGGTGGAGGAGTGTGCAGGATACAGGAGGGGGTGGAGGAGTGTCAGGATACAGAGGAGGGGGGTGGAGGAGTGTCAGGATACAGAGAAGGGGGTGGAGGAGTGTCAGGATACAGAGGAGGGGGTGGAGGAGTGTCAAGGATACAGAGGGAGGGGGTGGAGGAGTGTCAGGATACAGAGGAGGGGGTGGAGGAGTGTCAGGATACAGAGGAGGGGGTGGAGGAGTGTCAGGATACAGAGGAGGGGGTGGAGGAGTGTCAGGATACAGAGGAGGGGGTGGAGGAGTGTCAGGATACAGAGGAGGGGGTGGAGGAGTGTCAGGATACAGAGGGGGAGGAGTGTCAGATACAGAGGAGGGGGTGGAGGAGTGTCAGGATACAAGAGAAGGGGGTGGAGGAGTGTCAGGATACAGAGGAGGGGGTGGAGGAGTGTCAGGATACAGAGGAGGGGGTGGAGGAGTGTCAGGATACAGAGGAGGGGGTGGAGGAGTGTCAGGATACGGAGGAGGGGATGGAATGCCAAGAGTGTGCAAAGCTGTCATCAAGGCATAGGATGGCTACTTTGAAGAATCTTGAATATAAAATATATTTTGATTTGTTTAACACTTTTTTGGTTACTGCATGATTCCACATGTTATTTCATAGTTTTGATGTCTTCCCTATTATTCTACAATGTAAAACATAGTAACAATAAAGAAAAACCCTGGTGTGTCCAAAGTTTTGACTGGTACTATATATGTACACTACCGTTCAAAAGTTTGGGATCACTTTCCTTGTTTTCGAAAGAAAAGCAATTTCCTTGTCCATTTAAATAACATAAAATTGATCAGAAATACAGTGTAGACATTGTGAATGTTGTAAATGGCTATTGTAGCTGGAAACGGCTGATTTTTTATGAAATATCTACATAGGCGTACAGAGGCCCATTATCAGCAACCATCAGTCCTGTGTTCCAGTGGCACGTTGTGTTGCTAATCCAAGTTCATCATTTTAAAAGGCTAATTGATCATTAGAAAACTCTTTTGCAATTATGTTAGCAGTGCTGAAAACTGTTGTGCTGATTAAAGAAGCAATACAACTGGCCTTCTTGAGACTAGTTGAGTATCTGGAGCATCAGCAATTGTGGGTTCGATTACAGGCTCAAAATGGCCAGAAACAAAGAGCTTTCTTCTGAAACTCGTCAGTCTACTCTTATTCTGAGAAATGAAGGCTATTCCATGCAATAAATTGCCAAGAAACTGAAGATCTCGTACAATGCTGTGTACTACTCCCTTCACAGAACAGCGCAAACTGGCTCTAACCAGAAAAGAAAGAGGAGTGGGAGGCCCTGGTGCACAACTGAGCAAGAGGACAACTACATTAGAGTGTCTGGTTTGAGAAACAGACGCCTCACATGTCCTCAACTGGCAGCTTCATTAAATAGTACCCTCAAAACACCAGTCTCAACGTCAACAGTAAAGAGGCGACTCCGGGATGCTGACCTTCTAGGCAGAGCTGGAAAGAAAAAGCCATATCTCAGACTGGCCAATAAAAATAAAATATTAAGATGGGCAAAAGAACACAGACACTGGACAGAGGAAGATTGGAAAAAAGTGTTATGGACAGACAAATCGAAGCTTGAGGTGTTCGGATCACAAAGAAGAACATTTGTGAGACACAGACCAAATGAAAAGATGCTGGAGGAGTGCTTGATGCCATCTGTCAAGCATGGTGGAGGCAATGTGATGGTCTGGGGGTGCTTTGGTGGTGGTAAAGTGGGAGATTTGTACAGGGTTAAAGATATCTTGAAGAAGGAAGGCTATCACTCCATTTTGCAACGCCATGCCATACCCTGTGGACGACGCTTGATTGGAGCCAATTTCCTCCTACAACAGGACAATGACCCAAAGCACAGCTCCAAACTATGCAATAACTATTTAGGGAAGAAGCAGTCAGCTGGTATTCTGTCTATAATGGAGTGGCCAGCACATTTACGGATGTCAACCCTGTTGAGCTGTTGTGGGAGCAGCTTGACCGTATGGTACGTAAGAAGTGCCCATCAAGCCAATCCAACTTGTGGGAGGTGCTTCAGGAAGCATGAGGTGAAATCTCTTCAGATTACCTCAACAAATTGACAACTAGAATGCCAAAGGTCTGCAAGGCTATAATCGCTGCAAATGGAGGATTCATTAACGAAAGCAAAGTTTGAAGGACACAATCATTATTTCTAACCTTGACTGCATTTCCTATTCATTTTGCTATATTTCCTATTCAAACTCATTTCATGTATGTTTTCATGGAAAACAAGGACATTTCTAAGTGACCCTAAACTTTTGAACGGTAGTGTATATGTTCCCAAAACACAAAAACTTTCCAGCTCTGCGGATAATTCTACAATGTTTCTTTTAGAGTGCAAAAAACATTAACCTGATGTTACAAGAAATCAAATCAAATCAAATACATATTTATTGGTCGCATACACATATTAAGTAGATGTTATTGCGGAGTAGCGAAATACTTGTGTTCTTCGCTCAATATGTTTAATTAGGTTGTGGTAACATTGTGGGGACATGACAAGATACATTTTCCCAAAACTTAAAAACTGTGCAGTTGTGTTGACATTCAGATAATATTTGTATCAAGGTGCACAAAAAAAATTATTTAATGTTGCAACAATGTTGACAGAACAGCCTTTCTGAGTTCTTTAAAGCTTCCCAGAACATTTAGGTTGTGGGAAGAGTGTGGGTACATTACAAAGTTCCCAAAAACACTAAATATGCTCAGTTGTGATGACATTGATACAATGTTTTAGTTGCACAGGACATTCCCTTAATGTTGTAAGAATGAAATAAGTCAGTTCTTATGACGTTCATAACATCTCTGTTTTAGGTTTAACATAATATTCCATTGCTGTTCAAGCAATATACCTTTTACCTTGTCTTGGAGGTCCACAGAACATTTCAAGAACATTTAGAAAACCCAATAGTCGTAAAACGGACTATCTTACCGATCCTTGACTTCGGCGATGTCATTTACAAAATAGCCTCCAACACTCTACTCAGCAAATTGGATGTAGTCTATCACAGTGCCATCCATTTTGTCTCCAAAGCCCCATACACTACCCACCATTGTGACCTGTACGCTCTTGTTGGCTGGTCCTCATTATATGTTCGTCGTCAAACCCACTGGCTCCAGGCCATCTATAAATCACTGCTAGGCTAATCCCCACCTTATCTTAGCTCATTGGTCACCATAGCAACACCCACCCGTAGTATGCACTCCAGCAGGTATATCTCACTGGTCATCCCCAAAGCCAACACCTCCTTTGGCCGCCATTCCTTCCAGTTCTCTGCTGCCAATGACTGGAACAAATTGCAAAAATCTCTGAAGCTGGAGACTCTTATCTCCCTCACTAACATCAAGCATCAGTTGTCAGAGCACCTTACCGATCACTGCACCTGTACACAGCCCATCTGAAATTAGCCCACCCAACTACCTCATCCCTATATTGTTATTTATTTTGCTCATTTGCACCCCAGTATCTCTATTTGCACATAATCTCTTGCACATCTATCATTCCAGTGTTAATACTAATTGTAATTATTTTGCACTATAGCCTATTTATTGCCTTACCTCCATAACTTGCTACATTTGCACACACTGTATGTATATTTTCTGTTGTATTTTTTGACTTTATGTTTTGTTTTACCCCATATGTAACTCTGTGTTGTTGTTTTTAATCGCACTGCTTTGCTTTATCTTGGCCAGGTCACAGTTGTAAATGAGAACTTGTTCTCAACTGGCTTACCTGGTTAAATAAAGGTGAAATAAAAATAAAATTAAAAAACAACAAAGCATGGCAATTCCCACTCAGCTACCCTGGTCTGTATTAGGCTACCACTGTTCAGCTATCGTGAAAACCACTAAAGTTCTAAAGTGTTCTCTTAGCAATGGCAATCAAAGCTGTGGTAACATTAAACAAATAAAACATGTGTTGAACGGAACCTTGAACAAGTTCAACAGAACTTTGAACGTGTCACTTAATCTAGTCCTACTCTCAGCTGGTGTGGTGGCTTTAGTTTCTTCATTGAGCGGTAGCAGTGGGCTCTCACAGAGATCTCATTTGTAGCCCTGTTTTTACCTGATACTTTCATAAAAGTACAAACACATGAAGTGAGAGGTATATACACATGATTCAACTTTATTTAAGGCATGATTAACCTGAAGCAGGACGGAGTCATGACTTAAAACACCAAAGCAAGGCTTCTAGCTCAGGCTAGCTAGTGTTAGCATATTACCTTCAAAGTTGCAAAGAAAATAAGAAACGTAGAATTTGAAGCCTTTATCCAGTTTGCTACGTGGTGTCGTACTGGATGTCCGGACAACCCTCCGTATATCATTAACAGATACTTTAGGCAACTCCAGCAAACACCTTGTAAACTTCATCTCTGCCATCATAACGGTCTACTGTCACTGTCTGTTTTTTTCCGGTAACCGGAAATGCCCAAACATCCTTACGCCAATGCGGAAGTGATGCGTGCATAGAGCCTATTCGTTTTTGAGGACTGTATTAAGGTGATATGGAGACACATGGCATTTTTATTTCATTCATAGGACATTTGAACAGCATTTAATCACACAAACACAACCATATTTCTTACACTTCCTTTGTTGACAATCTGGGGGTTTGAACCTGCAAAAGTTTGGTTTTTAAGACAGGTGTTTATCCGCTGTGCCACCAGGAAAGCTTGCTGATGATTTTTAATGAATTTATTTGCAAATTATGGTGGAAAATAAGTATTTGGTCAATAACAAAAGTTTTTCAATACTTTGTTATATACCCTTTGTTGGCAATGACACAGGTCAAAAGTTTTCTGTAAGTCTTCACAAGGTTTTCAGACACTGTTGCTGGTATTTTGGCCCATTCCTCCATGCAGATCTCCTCTAGAGCAGTGATGTTTTGGGGCTGTCGCTGGGCAACACAGACTTTCAACTCCCTCCAAAGATTTTCTATGGGGTTGAGATCTGGAGACTGGCTAGGCCACTCCAGGACCTTGAAATGCTTCTTACGAAGCCACTCCTTCGTTGCCCGGGCGGTGTGTTTGGGATTATTGTCATGCTGAAAGACCCAGCCACGTTTCATCTTCAATGCCCTTGCTGATGGAAGGAGGTTTTCACTCAAAATCTCACGATACATGGCCCCATTCATTCTTTCCTTTACACGGATCAGTCGTCCTGGTCCCTTTGCAGAAAAACAGCCCCAAATCATGATGTTTCCACCCCCATGCTTCACAGTAGGTATGGTGTTCTTTGGATGCAACTCAGCATTCTTTGTCCTCCAAACACGACGAGTTTAGTTTTTACCAAAAAGTTATATTTTGGTTTCATCTGACCATATGACATTCTCCCAATCCTCTTCTGGATCATCCAAATGCACTCTAGCAAACTTCAGACGGGCCTGGACATGTGCTGGCTTAAGCAGGGGGACACGTCTGGCACTGCAGGATTTGAGTCCCTGGCGGCGTAGTGTGTTACTGATGGTAGGCTTTGTTACTTTGGTCCCAGCTCTCTGCAGGTCATTCACTAGGTCCCCCCGTGTGGTTCTGGGATTTTTGCTCACTGTTCTTGTGATCATTTTGACCCCACGGGGTGAGATCTTGCGTGGAGCCCCAGATCGAGGGAGATTATCAGTGGTCTTGTATGTCTTCCATTTCCTAATAATTGCTCCCACAGTTGATTTCTTCAAACCAAGCTGCTTACCTATTGCAGATTCAGTCTTCCCAGCCTGGTGCAGGTCTACAATTTTGTTTCTGGTGTCCTTTGACAGCTCTTTGGTCTTGGCCATAGTGGAGTTTGGAGTGTGACTGTTTGAGGTTGTGGACAGGTGTCTTTTATACTGATAACAAGTTCAAACAGGTACAATTAATACAGGAAACGAGTGGAGGACAGAGGAGCCTCTTAAAGAAGAAGTTACAGGTCTGTGAGAGCCAGAAATCTTGCTTGTTTGTAGGTGACCAAATACTTATTTTCCACCATAATCTGCAAATAAATTCATTAAAAATCCTACAATGTAATTTTCTGGAAAAAAAATTCTCAATTTGTCTGTCATAGTTGACGTGTACCTATGATGAAAATTACAGGCCTCTCTCATCTTTTTAAGTGGGAGAACTTGCACAATTGGTGGCTGACTAAATACTTTTTTTACCCACTCATGGCAATACGGTCAATCAGGAATTCGATGCGTTTTTTTTTTTTTGCCTTCTTAGACATAACTAACCCAGGGATATTCTGGTAACTGGGTTATTCACCATCACTTCACCTACCCTCTTTATATGCTGCGTACTTCTGGGCCCATATTTACAAGGTATCCAAGACTATGAGTGCTGATCTAGGATCACTTTTGCTTTTCAGATCATGAAAAAGAAGCTAGGGGAGACCATATCAAGCGTCTCAAAGTAGGAATTATATCGTGTGTGTTTTAAAAAAAGTTAGAAAAATAAATTTTTACACAATGTTTTAATTAGTCTAAATTCTGCATTTCTGACTGGATTTATACATCTTTTTTTTGACATGGTTACAAAATATGTGGGATTGAACCTTATTTTAGCAGGGAATCACCATTGAGACCAGGGTCTCTTTTTCAAGGGAGCCATGACATAGAACAAAAAAATTTAATACAATATAAAACAAGTAAAATACAGCACAGGACAAATAAACATAAATATACACAATATATACAAAACACAATCAACTAATACCAACACATTCTTCATTATAACATAAAATATTCCCTTCCTTTTTATCACGTGTTTAAGGTCTTATGAAATGTGATTATGTTTGGATAGAGCTTATTTTAAATAACTTGCATTCTTGTGTGTTCATATGCTTCGGCAGGTAGCTTAGTGGTTAAGAGCATTGTGCCAGTAACTGAAAGGTCGCTGGTTCTAATCACCGAGCCGACTAGGTGAAAAATCTGTCAATGTGCCATTGAGCAAGGCACTTAACCCTAATTGCTCCTGTAAGTCACTCTGGATAAGAACGTCTGCTAAATGACTAAAATGTAAATGCTTCTTAAATACAAACTCAGAACCTTCAAACTAAATAAGATATTATTTGTACCTTTTCTCAAATTTGAAAATCTAATTTCTTTCAACTCATGTGATGAAGAAAGAAATCATCAAATACACAGCATATACAGTAAACAGGAAGGGAATATTTTAATAACTGTTCTGTGTTCTGTGTCCTGATTGACCATATTTGACAACAACAAAAAACACACAAGGACACAGCGATCCCCTGGTGGTGCAGAGGGTTAATAATCTGCAGGTTCAAACCCCACATGTGCAGATTGTGAACATATGAAGTGTCAAAAATATGTTGTGATTTTATAATAAACACTGTGTAAATGTCCTAGAAATGAAATAATGTGCAGATTCTCAACATATGAAGTGTAAAAAACACGGGTATGATTAAATGCTATTCAAATGTCCTGTGAAATAAATTAAAATGCCATGTGTTTCTATATCACCTATAATACAGTCCTCAAATGCGAGTTGCCATTACATCTGGAGAGAAACATAATGCGGATATATTCCAGTCTGCTTTCTTATGCTGAGAATGTTGTGGTAATATTAGGTTAAAATGTTCTGAGGACCTCAAAGACAAGGTCAAATGTATATTGTGTGAACATCAATGGAATATTATGTTAAACCTAAAAGAAAAATGCTATGAACAATATAAAAACTGACTTATTTCATTCTTACAACATTAAGGGAATGTCCAGTGCAACCTAACTTAAACATTGAACATTGTCATCATAACTGAGCATGTTTTCTCTTGTCATATCCCCAAAATGTTCCCAAAATCTAAATAAAAGTTTTAGGAACTTTTAAAGAACATAAGAAAATGTGTTCTGGGAATGTTCTTGCAACATCAGGCAAATGTATTTTGCAACCTAATATAAACATTGTAATAATCAGCCCAAATTGAGTTTTTGTGTTTTGGGAAAATATCTCTTGTCATGTCCACACAATGTTCCCACAACCTAATAAAACATCATTGGAACCTTTAAAGAATGGACAAAATGTGTTCTGGGAACATTCTTGTAATACCAGGTTAATGTTTTTTGCACCCAAAAGAAACAAGTTTTAAGTTTTAATGTCACGCGCACACGTACAATGAAATGCCTTTCTTGCCAGCTCTAAACTTAACAATGCAGTAATCAATAATAATGTAATACTAAAAATAACATAAAGTGGAACAAAAACACATGAGAAATAAAAATAAGAAAGTAAGTAAGCATACTATATATCAAATCAAATCAAATCAAATTGTATTGGCCACATGCGCCGAATACAACAGGTGCAGACATTACAGTGAAATGCTTACTTACAGCCCTTAACCAACAGTGCATTTATTTTTAATAAAAAAGTAAAATAAAACAACAACAAAAATGTGTTGAGAAAAAAAGAGCAGAAGTAAAATAGGGAGGCTATATACAGTGAGGGAAAAAAGTATTTGATCCCCTGCTGATTTTGTACGTTTGCCCACTGACAAAGACATGATCAGTCTATAATTTTATTGGTAGGTTTATTTGAACAGTGAGAGACAGAGTAACAACAAAAAAATCCAGAAAAACGCATGTCAAAAATGTTATAAATTGATTTGCATTTTAATGAGGGAAATAAGAATTTGACCCCTCTGCAAAATATGACTTAGTACTTGGTGGCAAAACCCTTGTTGGCAATCACAGAGGTCAGACATTTCTTGTAGTTGGCCACCAGGTTTGCACACATCTCATAAGGAATTTAGTCCCACTCCTCTTTGCAGATCGTCTCCAAGTCATTAAGGTTTCGTGGCTGTCGTTTGGCAACTCGAACCTTCAGCTCCCTCCACAGATTTTCTATGGGATTAAGGTCTGGAGACTGGCTAGGCCACTCCAGGACCTTAATGTGCTTCTTCTTGAACCACTCCTTTGATGCCTTGGCCGTGTGTTTTGGGTCATTGTCATGCTGGAATACCCATCCACGACCCATTTTCAATGCCCTGACTGAGGAAGGAGGTTCTCACCCAAGATTTGACAGTACATGGCCCCGTCCATCGTCCCTTTGATGCGGTGAAGTTGTCCTGTCCCCTTAGCAGAAAAACACCCCCAAAGCATAATGTTTCCACCTCCATGTTTGACGGTGCGGATGGTGTTCTTAGGGTCATAGGCAGCATTCCTCCTCCTCCAAACACGGCGAGTTGAGTTGATGCCAAAGAGCTCGATTTTGGTCTCATCTGACCACAACACTTTCACCTAGTTCTCCTCTGAATCATTCAGATGTTCATTGGCAAACTTCAGACGGGCCTGTATATGTGCTTTCTTGAGCAGGGGGACCTTGCGGGCGCAGCAGGATTTCAGTCCTTCACGGCGTAGTGTGTTACCAATTGTTTTCTTGGTGACTATGGTCCCAGCTGCCTTGAGATCATTGACAAGATCCTCCCGTGTAGTTCTGGACTGATTCCTCACCGTTCTCACGATCATTGCAACTCCACAAGGTGAGATCTTGCATGGAGCCCCAGGCCGAGGGAGATTGACAGTTCTTTTGTGTTTCTTCCATTTGCAAATAATCAAACCAACTGTTGTCACCTTCTCACCAAGCTGCTTGGCAATGGTCTTGTAGCCCATTCCAGCCTTGTGTAGGTCTACAATCTTGTCCCTGACATCCTTGGAGAGCTCTTTGGTCTTGTCCATGGTGGAGTGTTTGGAATCTGATTGATTGATTGCTTCTGTGGACAGGTGACTTTTATACAGGTAACAAGCTGAGATTAGGAGCACTCCCTTTAAGAGTGTGCTCCTAATCCCAGCTCGTTACCTGTATAAAAGACACCTGGGAGCCAGAAATCTTTCTGATTGAGAGGGGGTCAAATACTTATTTCCCTCATTAAAATGCAAATCAATTTATAACATTTTTGACATGCGTTTTTCTGGATTTTTATGTTGTTATTCTGTCTCTCACTGTTCAAATAAACCTACCGTTAAAATTATAGACTGAACATTTCTTTGTCAGTGGGCAAACGTACAAAATCAGCAGCGGATCAAATACTTTTTTCCCTCACTGTATACAGGGGGGTACCGGTGCAGAGTCAATGTGCGGGGGCACCGGCTAGTTGAGGTAGTTGAAGTAATATGTACATGTGGGTAGAGTTAAAGTGACTATGCATAAATAATTAACAGAGTAGCAGCAACATAAAAAGATGGGGTGGGGGGTGGGGGTGGGGGGGCAGTGCAAATAGTCCTGGTAGCCATGATTAGCTGTTCAGGAGTCTTATGGCTTGGGGGTAGAAGCTGTTGAAAAGTATTTTGGACCTAGACTTGGCACTCCAGAAACCGCTTGCCGTGCGGTAGCAGAGAGAACAGTCTACGACATGGGTGGCTGGAGTCTTTGACAATTTTGAGGGCCTTCCTCTGACACCGCCTGGTATAGAGGTCCTGGATGGCAGGAAGCTTGGCCCCAGTGATGTACTGGGCCGTACGCACTACCCTAAGTAGTGCCTTGCGGTCAGAGGCCAAGCAGTTGCCATACCAGGCGGTGATGCAACCAGTCAGGATGCTCTCGATGGTGCAGCTGTATAATTTTTTGAGGATCTGAGGACCCATGCCAAATCTTTTCAGTCTCCTGAGGGGGAATAGGCTTTGTCGTGCCCTCTTCACAACTGTCTTGGTGTGTTTGGACCATGATAGTTCGTTGGTGATGTGGACACCAAGGAACTTGAAGCTCTCAACCTGTTCCACTACAGCCCCGTCAATGAAAATGGGGGCGTGCTCAGTCCTCTTTTTTTTCCTGTAGTCCACAATCATCTCCTTTGTCTTGGTCACGTTGAGGGAGAGGTTGTTATCCTGGCACCACACGGCCAGGTCTCTGACATCCTCCCTATTTGCTGTCTCATCGTTGTCGGTGATCAGGCCTACCACTGTTGTGTCGTCGGCAAACTTAATGATGGTGTTGGAGTCGTGCCTGGCCATGCAGTCATGGGTGAACAGGGAGTACAGGAGGGGACTGAGCATGCACCCCTGAGGGGCCCCCGTGTTGAGGATCAGTGTGGCAGATGTGTTGTTACCTACCCTTACCACCTGCGGGCGGCCCGTCAGGAAGTCCAGGATCCAGTTGCAGAGGGAAGTGTTTAGTCCCAGGATCCTTAGCTTAGTGATGAGCTTTGAGGGCACTATGGTGTTGAATGCTGAGCTGTAGTCAATGAATAGCATTCTCACGTAGGTGTTCCTCTTGTCCAGGTGGGAAAGGGCAGTGTGGAGTGCAATAGAGATTGCATCATCTGTGGATCTGTTGGGGCAGTATGCAAATTGGAGTGGGTCTAAGGTTTCTGGGATAATGGTGTTGATGTGAGCCATGACCAGCCTTTCAAAGCACTTCATGGCTACAGACGTCAGTGCTACGGGTCGGTAGCCATTTAGGTAGGTTATCTTAGTGTCCTTGGGCACGGGGACTATGGTGGTCTGCTTGAAACATGTTGGTATTACAGACTCAGTCAGGGACATTTTGAAAATGTCTGTGAAGACACTTGCCAGTTGGTCAGCACATGCTCGGAGTACATGTCCTGGTAATCCATCTGGCCCTGCGGCCTTGTGAATGTTGACCTGCTTAAAAGTCTTACTCACATCGGCTACGGAGAGCGTGATCACATAGTCATCCGGAACAGCTGGTGCTCTCATGCATGCTTCAGTGTTGCTTGCCTCGAAGCGAGCATAGAAGTGGTTTAGCTCGTCTGTAAGTCTTGTGTCACTGGGCAGCTCGCAGCTGTTCTTCCCTTTGTAGTCTGTAATAGTTTTCAAGCCCTGCCACATCCGACGAGCACCAGAGCCGGTGTAGTATGATTCAATCTTAGTCCCTCTTTGCCTGTTTGATGGTTCGTCGGAGGGCATAGCGGGATTTCTTATAAGCGTCCGGGATAGAGTCCCGCTCCTTGAAAGCGGCAGCTCTACCCTTTAGCTCAGTGCGGATGTTTCCTGTAATCCATGGCTTCTGGTTGGGGTATGTACGTACGGTCACTGTGGGGACGACATCATCGATGCACTTATTGATGAAGCCAGTGACTGATGTGGTGTACTCCTCAATGCTATCTGAAGAATCCCGGAACATGTTCCAGTCTGTGCTAGAAAAACAGTCCTGTAGCTTAGCATCTGCGTCATCTGACAACTTTTTTATTAACCGAGTCACTGGTGCTTCCTGCTTTAGTTTTTGCTTATAAGCAGGAATCAGGAGGATAGAGTAATGGTCAGATTTGCCAAATGGAGGGCGAGGGAGAGCTTTGTATGCGTCTCTGTGTGTGGAGTAAAGGTGGTCTAGAGTTTTTTTTTTTCTCTCTGGTTGCACATTTAACATGCTGGTAGAAATTAGGTAGAACGGATTTAAGTTTCCCTGCATTAAAGTCCCCGGCCACTAGGAGCGCTGCCTATGGATGAGCGTTTTCCTGTTCACTTATGGCCTTATACAGCTCATTCAGTGCAATCTTAATGCCAGCATTGGTTTGTGGTGGTAAATAGACAGCTATGAAAAATATAGATGAAAACTCTCTTGGTAAATAGTGTGGTCTACAGCCTATCATAAGATACTCTACCTCAGGCGAGCAAAACCTCGAGACTTCCTTAGTATTTGATTTTGTGCAACAGCTGTTGTTTACAAATATACACAGACCGCCACCCCTTGTCTTACCAGAGTCAGCCATTCTATCCTGCCGATGTAGTGTATAGCCCGCTAGCTGTATGTTGTCCATGTCGTCGTTCAGCCACGACTCGGTGAAACATAAGATATTACAGTTTTTCATGTCCCGTTGGTAGGATAACCGTAATCTTAGGTCATCCAATTTATTCCCAAATTATTGAAGATTGGCTAATAGGATTGATGGGAGAGGCAATTTACTCGCTCGCCGTCGGATCCTTACACGGCACCCGGACCTACGTCCACGATATCTCCGTCTCTTTCTCATGCGAATTACGGGGATTTGGGCCTTGTCGGGTGTCTGTAGGATATGCTTCGCGGCCGCCTCGTTGAAGAAAAAATCTTTGTCCAATACGAGGTGAGTAATCGCTGTCCTGACATCCAGAAGCTCTTTTTGGTTATAAGAGACGATGGCAGAAACATTATGTACAAAATAAATTACAAATAACGCGGAAAAACACACATAATAGTACAATTGGTTAGAGGGCTGTAAAACGGCAGCCATCTTCTCTGGCGCCATTCAAACATATACAAGGTCAATAAATTCCAGTACCATATTTACAATGTGCAGGGATACTGGAGTGATAGAGGTAGATATGTACAGGGGTAAGGTGACTAGGCATCGGGATATATGATAAACAGAATAGCAGCAGTGTACTCTACCGTTCAAAAGTTTGGGGTCACTTAGAAATGTCCTTGTTTTCCATGACAATATACATGAAATGAGTTTGAATAGGAAATATAGCAAAATGAATAGGAAATGTAGTGATTGACAAGGTTAGAAATAATGATTTTTAATTGAAATAATAATTGTGTCCTTCAAACATTGCTTTCGTCAAAGAATCCTCCATTTGCAGCAATTACAGCCTTGCAGACCTTTGGTATTCTTGTTGTCAATTTGTTGAGGTAATCTGAAAAGATTTCACCCCATGCTTCCTGAAGCACCTCCCACAAGTTGGATTGGCTTGATGGGCACTTCTTACGTACCATACGGTCAAGCTGCTCCCACAACAGCTCAATAGGGTTGAGATCCGGTGACTGTGCTGGCCACTCCATTATAGACAGAATACCAGCTGACTGCTTCTTCCCTAAATAGTTATTGCATAGTTTGGAGCTGTGCTTTGGGTCATTGTCCTGTTGTAGGAGGAAATTGGCTCCAATCAAGCGCTGTCCACAGGGTATGGCATGGCATTGCAAAATGGAGTGATAGACTTCCTTCTTCAAGATCCCTTTTACCCTGTACAAATCTCCCACTTTACCACCACCAAAGTACCCCCAGACCATCACATTGTCTCCAACATGTTTGACAGAAGGCATCAAGCACTCCTCCAGCATCTTTTCATTTGGTCTGCGTCTCACAAATGTTCTTCTTTGTGATCCGAACACCTCAAACTTCCATTCGTCTGTCCATAACACTTTTTTCCAATCTTCTTCTGTCCAGTGTCTGTGTTCTTTTGCCCATCTTAATATTTTCTTTTTACTGGCCAGTCTGAGATATGGCTTTTTCTTTGCAACTCTGCCTAGAAGGTCAACATCCCGGAGTTGCCTCTTCACTGTTGAAGTTGAGACTGGTGTTTTGCGGGTACTATTTAATGAAGCTGCCAGTTGAGGACCTGTGAGGCATCTGTTTCTCAAACTACACACTCTAATGTATTTGTCCTCTTGCTCAGTTGTGCACCGGGGCCTCCCACTCCTCTTTCTTTTCTGGTTAGAGCCAGTTTGCGCTGTTCTGTGAAGAGAGTAGTACACAGCGTTGTACAAGATCTTCAGTTTCTTGGCAATTTCTCGCATGGAATAGCCTTCATTTCTCAGAACAAGAATAGACTGACGAGTTTCAGAAGAAAGTTCTTTGTTTCTGGCCATTTTGAGCCTGTAATCAAACCCAACAATTGCTGATGCTCCAGATACTCAACTAGTCTCAAGAAGGCTATTTGTATTGCTTATTTAATCAGCACAACAGTTTTCAGCTGTGCTAACATAATTGCAAAAGGGTTTTCTAATGATCAATTAGCCCTTTAAAATGATAAACTTGGATTAGCAAACACAACGTGCCATTGGAGCACAGGACTGATGGTTGCTGATAATGGTCCTCTTGTGATGCATGATTTGAAGGAGTCAGGCGCAGGAGGGTGAATCACAGTATACAGAGTTTATTCCGTAATCCAGCGTAACCAGTCCAGTGCGCAAAACAGGCGCGCTGGAACAAACATGCACACGGGGAAAATACAACGGCAATACAAAATACTGAGCTCAACCGAGCTACTAATCCTCACAATCACCCACAAGGACAAGGGGGCAGAGGGAACACTTAAACACGTACTAATGAGGGGAATATGTACCAGGTGTGTGTAATTGACAATACAAGACAAATGGAATGATGAGATATGGAGCGGCAGTGGCTAGAAGGCTGGTGACGACGAACGCCGAAGCCTGCCCGAACAAGGAGGGGAGGCAGCTTCGGAGGAAGTCGTGTCACCTCTGTATGCCTATGTAGATATTCCATTAAAAATCAGCCATTTCCAGCTACAATAGCCATTTACAACATTAAGAATGTCTACACTGTATTTCTGATCAATTTGATGTTATTTTAATGGACAAAAAAATTGCTTTTCTTTCGAAAACAAGGACGTTTCTAAGTGGCCCCAAACGTTTGAATGGTAGTGTATATGATGATTGTATGTGAGTGTGTGTGTGTGTGTACAGTCACGGTCAAAAGTTTTGAAAATGACACAAATACTAATTTTCACAAAGTCTGCTGCCTCAGTTTTGATGATGGCAATTTGCATTTACTCCAGAATGTCATGAAGAGTGATCAGATTAATTGGAATTAATTGCAAAGTCCCTCTTTGCCATGAAAATGAACTTAATCCCCCCAAAAAACATTTTCACTGCATTTCAGCCCTGCCACAAAAGGACCAGCTGCCATCATGTCAGTGATTCTCTTGTTAACACAGGTGAGAGTGTTGACGAGGACAAGGCTGGAGATCACTCTGTCATGCTGATTGAGTTAGAATAACAGACTGGAAGCTTTAAAAGGAGGGTGGTGCTTGAAATCATTGTTCTTCCTCTGTTAACCATGGTTACCTGCAAGGAAACACATGCCATCATCATTGCTTTGCACAAAAAGGGCTTCACAGGCAAGGATAGTGCTGCTATTAAGATTGCACCTAAATCAACCATTTATCGGATCATCAAGAACTTCAAGGAGAGAGTTTCAATTGTTTTGAAGAAGCCTTCAGAGCGCCCAAGAAAGTCCAGCAAGTGCCAGGACTGTCTCCTAAAGTTGATTCAGCTGCGCGATCGGGGCACAACCAGTGCAGAGCTTGCTCAGGAATGGTAGCAGGCAGGTGTGAGTGCATCTGCACGCACAGTGAGGCGAAGACTTTTGGAGGATGGCCTGGTGTCAAGAAGGGCAGCAAAGAAGCCACTTCTCTCCAGGAAAAACATCAGGGACAGACTGATATTCTGCAAAATGTACAGGGATCGGACTGCTGAGGACTGGGGTAAAGTCATTTTCTCTGATGAATCTCCTTTCTGATTCTTTGGGGCATCCAGAAAACCCCATGTCCGGAGAAGACAAGGTGAGCGCTACCATCAGTCCTGTGTCATGCCAACAGTAAAGCATCCTGAGACCATTCATGTGTGGGGTTGCTTCTCAGCCAAGGGAGTTGGCTCACTCACAATTTTGCCTAAGAACACAGCCATGAATAAAGAATGGAACCAACACATCCTCCGAGAGTAACTTCTCCCAACCATCCAAGAACAGTTTGGTGACGACCAATGCCTTTTCCAGCATGAGCAAAAGTGATAACTAAGTGGCTCGGGGAACAAAACATCGACATTTTGGGTCCATGGCCAGGAAACTCCCCAGACCTTAATCCCATTGAGAACTTGTGGTCGATCCGCAAGAGGTGGGTGGACAACAAAAACCCACAAATTCTGACAACTCCAAGCATTGATTATGCAAGAATGGGCTGCCATCAGTCAGGATGTGGCCCAGAAGTTAATTGACAGCATGCCAGGGCGGATTGCAGAGGTCTTGAAAAAGAAGGGTCAACACTGCAAATATTGACTCTTTGCATAAACTTAATGTAATTGTCAACAAAAGCCTTTGACACTTATGGAATGCTTGTAATTATACTTCAGTATACCATAGTAACATCTGACAAAGATATCTCATAACACTGAAGCAGCGAACTTTGTGAAGACCAATACTTGTGTCATTCTCAAAACTTAGAGTCAGTATACATGTACAGTATGTCCATATTATGTGTGTGTGAGCAAATGATGAAGTGAGTGTTTGTGTTTGTGTTGGAGTGTCAGTGTGCCTGAGTGTGTAGGGCTCTGTAAGCGTGCATAGAAACAGCGCAAAAATAAAAATACAATGGAATAAAATACATGGGTCAACTCAGTCTGTGTAGCCATTGTGTTAGCTATTTAGTTAGCTATTTAGTTACCTTGGGGATAGAAGCTGTTCAGGAGCCTGTTGGTGTCAGACTTAATCCATTGGTACCACTTGCAGTGCAGAAGCAGAGAGAACAGTCTATGGCTTGGGTGGATGGAGTCTTTAACAATTTTCCGGGCCTTCCTTTCACACCACCTGATATAGAGGTCCTGGATGGCAGGGAGCTCGGCCCCAGTGACCGACTGGGCTGTCCGCACCACCCTCTGTAGCGCCATGCGTTCGAGGGCGGAACTATTGCAATACCAAGCAGTGATGCAGCCAGTCAAAATGCTCTAAATAGTGCAGCTGTATAACTTTTTGAGTATCTGAGGGCCCATGCCAAACCTTTTCAACCTCCTGAGGGGGAAGAGGGACTGTTGCGCCTTCTTTACCTCTGTGCGTGTGTGTGGACCATTTTAAGTCCTTAGTGATTTGGAGACCGAGGAACTTCTAGCTCTCCACCCACTCAACTGCAGTACCGTTCTAGCGCTCCCCCTTACAGACTGGGACAAGGAGAGGCTGAAAATTACTGTGAACGAGCCCTGGAATAACGTCAGGCCCGCGGCCTTGCGATTGTTGACCTGGTTAAAGACCTTACTCACGTCGGCCTCTGAGAGTGAGATCACCCAGTCGTCTGGGTCGGTGGTGGCCCTCACACCCGGCACAATGTTGTTATTGTCAAAGCGTGCATAAAATGCATTGAGTTCGTCTGGTAGAGAGGCATCGTTGGACACATCACGGCTGGGTCTTCCTTTATAATCCACAATGGACTGTAGCCCCTGCCACATGTGGCGGGCGCCGGCGCCTGTGCAATATGATTCCACTTTATTCCTATATTGTCCTTTTGCTCGTTTAATGACTCTGCGGAGGTCATAGCGGGACTTGTTGTACTTGTTCCTGTCCTCAGCCGTAGCCTCAGGGTTGTCTGCGATAGCCCTGTGAGCGGTAGCCCTGTCCTTTAGTTTAAATGTGTTCTGGAAACATTCTTGTAACATCAGGTGAGTGTTTTTTGCACCCTAAAATAAACATTGTAGAGTCATCTGCACAACTGGACAATCTTTGTGTCTTGGGAACATATATTTTGTGATGTTCCCACATTGTTCTCACCAGGCTCTTCCCACAACCTAATTAAATATTTTGGGAACCTTTAAAGAACGGATTAAATGTGTTCTAGGAACGTTCTTGCAACACCAGGCAAATGTTTTATACAAACATGCGGAATGTCATTCCCCTATTTACCTTTAACCTATAAGGACGGCACAATCATGCACATTCCGCACGCTTGCTGTTTAACCTATTATCACTTTACTCTCTCTCAACCAATGGGTGTAAATCTTGGAATGTATTTAAATGTCAACTTACCCATGTTCTCTCACTTGTTGTTTTTCAGCAACAGTCTTCGACAACCATCCACCTCCCCACCACCACCAGCTATAATAACCTTAAGGCCTGTCATTGGAACTATTTTCTCCTGGCGGGGGGGTTTAGATGCCAGCTGCCCAGCAAAGTGCTACCTGTTGTCAGCATCTGGCTCCGAGGAACATTCCTCAGAGACGAGGCCATACCCCAAACTATTTAATAAAATTCCATATTGCATTCTGTCTCTGTTGTTTATTCAGTTAAGCCTGTACTCAATTGAACGGTACATACACTACGACAAAAGCACCAACCCACTTTCACACAACTTAAATTAACTGAAACATACATTACACAAACACAGACATGACTGCCAAAAAACGTAAGCCTTCACATACGTACACATATGTTACAGGAGGGGGTCGCAGTTCCGGAGCGACCCACTAGGTGTCATCCTCCGACAACCTTAGGCACCTCCTCACTCACAGTCGGGACTAATCATCATCCTATTGGTGTCACCTGTGTCTATCGGTTCACCTGTGTATTTATGCCCTCACTTCCCTGTGTTCCCTTTTTCAGTTTTCTCTTCTAGTTTCTCTATGTCCAGCAGTGCTACTCAGTGTTTGATCTGAGATTTGTGTACAAGTACTTGAGAAGTGTTCTCCCTTTTTCGTTATTTGTTTCAGTCTTAGGTAGTATTTCGTATTGTGGCTGTCAGCCATTTTTTGGAGACTTAATTGCTCCGCCTTTCCTCCATTATTTTGTATTTTGGCTTCGGGCTTACTGCCTACTGTATATCCTGCAGCGCACCTGGGTCACACCTCACCCCAACCCTTACACACACACACATGCACTTACACACACATGCCTGTACACCAGTGGTGGAAAAAGTACCCAACTGTCATACTTGAGTAAAAGTAAAGATACCTTAATAGAAAATGACTCAAGTAAAAGTGAAAGTCACCCAGTAAAACACTACTTGAGTAAAAGTCTAAAAGTATATGGTTTTAAATATACTTAATTATCAAAAGTAAATGTAATTACAAAAATACACTTAAGTATCAAAAGTAAAAGTATAAATCATTTCACATTTCTTATATTAAGCAATCTAGACAGCACCATTTTCTTGTTTTTGTAATTTAAAGATAGCCAGGGGCACACTCCAACACTCAGACATCATTTACTGTCACGATCGTTACATGAAGACTCGGACCAAGACTCGGACCAGCGTGATAAGCGTACATTTTATTTACCGTACTGCACACGAACAAAACAAACGATATGTGAAGTCCTAGGTTATACACACCAAACCAAACGGAACAAGATCCCACAAAATACTAGTGCCAAACAGGCTGCCTAAGTATGGTCCCCAATCAGAGACAACGAGCTACAGCTGCCTCTGATTGGGAACCACCCTGGCCAACATAGATCAAAACGAACTAGAACAAAAACATAGAAAACAAAACATAGAAAATCCACACCCTGGCTCAACATTTAAGAGTCCCCAGAGTCAGGGCGTGACAGTACCCCCCCCCCAAAGGTGCGGACTGCGACCGCGCCACACAAACACAAGAGGGTAGGGGCCGGGTGGGCATTCCGCCTCGGAGGCGGATCCGGCTCCGGGCGTGACCACCACTCTCTCTCTACCCCCCCGTAGCGCCCCTGGTCTGGTCCCGCTGGCCGGAGCTGGACTGGACACCGGTGGAGCGGATTGCTCTGGCTCCGGTGTGGAGCAGCTGACCGGTGCCGGACCAGGCACCGGTGGAACAGGCACGGACCGTGCCGGACTGACGACGCGCACCACTGGCTTGGTGCGGGGAGCAGGAACGGGCCGGACCGGGCTGGCGACGCGCACCCCTGGCTTGGTGCGGGGAGCAGGAACGGGCCGGACCGGGCTAACGACGCGCACTACTGGCTTGGTGCGGGGAGCAGGAACGGGCCGGACCGGGCTGACGACGCGCACCACTGGCTTGGTGCGGGGAGCAGGAACAGGCCGGAAAGGGCTGAAGACGCGCACCACTGGCTTGGTGCGGGGAGCAGGAACAGGCCGGACCGGGCTGGCGACGCGCATCACAGGCTTGGTGCGAGGGACAGGAACAGGCCGGACCGGGCTGGCGACGCGCACCACAGGCTTGGTGCGGGGAGCAGGAACAGGCCGGACAGGTCTGCCGACGCGCACCCCTGGCTTGGTGCGAGGGACAGGAACAGGCCGGGCTGGACTGGGAACACGCACCACAGTCTTGGTGCGGGGAGAAGGAACAGGCCGGGCCGGACTGTCAACGCGCACCACTGGCCTGGTGCGGGGAGCAGGAACGGGCCGGGCTGGACTGGGAACACGCACCATTGGCTTGGTGCGGGGAGCCGGAACGGGCCGGGCCGGACTGTGGAGGCGGACTGGAGGTCTGGAGCTGAGAGCTGACACAACCCGTCCTGGCTGAATGCCTATCTCCACACGATATGTGTGATGCATCAGCACAGGACGTACAGGGCTGTGCACTCGTACTGGCGCTACAGCACATGGCACTGGCGCAGGATATCCGGGACCGAGGAGGGGTACTGGAGGCCACGAGCATTGAGCCGGCACACTCCGTCCTGGCTGCATGCCCACTCTCGCGGCACAGTACGTGGCTCCGCATAACACGGAGCCTGCCCAGTCTCACACTTCCTAGCCTGAGTATGGGGAGTTGGCTCTGCTCTAACTCTAGGCTCCGCCAACCACCCTTTTAGCCCCCCCCCCCCCAACATTTTCTTGGGGCTGTCTCTCGGGCTTCCTCCTCGGCCAGTACCCTCTGCGTTGCCGCTGCTCCTCTCTGTAGCGCGCCTCCACAGTCTCCTCCCAAGGACGGCGATCCATTCCGGCCTGGATCTCTTCCCAAGTCCAGGATCCCTTCCTGTCCAGGATCTCCTCCCAAGTCCAGGCTGTCCGTTCCTGGACACGCTGCTTGGTCCTCCTTTGGTGGGATCTTCTGTCACGATCGTTACATGAAGACTCGGACCAAGGCGCAGCTTGATAAACGTACATTTTATTTACCGTACTGCACACGAACAAAACAACAAACCAAACGATACGTGAAGTCCTAGGTTATACACACCAAACCAAACGGAACAAGATCCCACAAAATACTAGTGCCAAACAGGCTGCCTAAGAATGGTCCCCAATCAGAGACATCGAGCTATAGCTGCCTCTGATTGGGAACCACCCTGGCCAACATAGATCAAAACGAACTAGAACAAAAACATAGAAAACAAAACAAAGAAAATCCACACCCTGGCTCAACATTTAAGAGTCCACAGAGCCAGGGCGTGACATTTACAAAAGATGCATGTGTGTTTAGATCATAGGCAGTACGGATGACCATGGATGTTCGCTGGATAAGTGTGTGAATGGACCATTTTTCTGTCCTGCTAAGCATTCAAAATGTAACAAGTACTTTTTGGCCTCAGGGAAAATGTATGGAGTAACAAGTACATTATTTTATTTAGGAATGTAGTGAAGTAAAAGTAAAAGTAGTCAAACATATAAATAGTAAAGTAAAGTACAGATACCCCAAAAACCTACTTAAGTAGTACTTTAAAGTATTTTTACTTAAGTACTTTACACCACTGCTGTCCACACACGAGCATGGAAAGTTGTCGGAGAGGTTAAGTGCCCCTATTGGCAGCAGGGATGGCAGCTACATGTCAAATGGTTGCCATGGTGACTGAGTATCAGCTTGTTTTCTCAGTTGCACTCTCTCTCTCTCCCTGGGATTTAATTTATCTCTCTACATCTCTCTTTCTATCGCCCTCTGGCACTTTCTCTCTTGCTCCTTCTCATGCTTTGTCACTCCGTCTCTCTCTCTCTCTCTCTCTCTCTCTCTCTCTCCTCTCTCTCTCTCTCTCTCTCCTCTCTCTCTCTCTCTCTCTCTCTCGCTCTCTCTCTCGCTCGCTCTCTCGCTCTCTCTCTCTCTCTCTCTCTCTCTCTCTCTCTCTCTCTCTCTCTATCCGTATCTCTCGCTCTCTCTCTCACACACACATGCACACACGCCCACATGCCACACACACACAGACACACTGGCACTCACACAGACACACACATTCATACAGACAGACACACACACACATATTGTATACACACAAACACGCGCACACACACATTTAGTGTTTTAGTCATTTGCTCTTCCCTTAGCCCGCTGACCTTAAGGGTTTAAACATGGGGTTTACCAGACTGTATCACCACTAATAAAGAGAGGGGGTATTGCAAAACGCCACCATAATGATGACCTACTGCATTCTCTCTCACAGCATGTTTCATACTTATAGTACTGAAAAGTTGGATATGTAGTGAAAGTTGGACTTGTATTTGAAAGCAAACAACTACGCATCATCAACATACGGGTTACTATGCTGCTGAAAAGCACTTTCTTATAAAATACACTCCTATCTGTAAGGTATAAATGTCAGCTCATATGCGTCATAACTCCTACTGTAGTCACCGAGGGGTTAAATAATAATGACTTTCAGTGGACACTTAAAGGATCATGGTTAACTCAAAATATTCCTTCAGGCTTTCCTGGCTAACATCCTTAGGTTACCCATCATCCTTAGATATGAGCCCTGCTGGGTCTCATGCATTTATGGATACACCACCAACCAT